GTCCTTCCTCTCCCTGCCCTGGGGGGTTGCGGGGGTCAGTGCAAACCCCTGTGTCCAGGGCACCGGTGGGCTCCCGACTTCCGGCAGTCAGGGGGCTGAGGTCCTGAAGGAAGCTCCGAGGGGAGAGTCCTGCGTGTGCAAAACCTGGGAGGGGAGCCGGAGCCCAGGAGCTTCTGGGACTGAGCGCTCTCGATGTGGAGCTGGGGGAGAGGGGACGTGTGTGGCTGCAGTAGCAGGCAAGGAGGTGGGTTTTTTCTCGGGGGCGTCGGGTTTTGAACAGAATCAGGACATCCTCTGAGTTGGGGTTTTAAAACGGTTTCGCCGTTTGTTGCGTGGAGAACAGACATGCAGGGGTGTCGGCATGAAGGGAAGAACTGACTGCCACAGTCTGGGCAGCAGTGGAGGTGAGCGGCCAGGTGAATTCTGGTGGATCTGCGGATGCATCAGGTGTGGGCTGTTTGAAGAACGAACTGCTCCATGTTGTTCAGCCTGAGCGCCTGGAGGAAGGGAGCTGCTGTAGACAGGAGAATTGAAGGGAAAGCAGGTTTCCTTTAGGGGGAAAGCTCAGGAGTCTGGGATGTCCCAGGTTGGTCATGTCACCGGACCTGACGTTGTTGGTGTCCTGGGCTGAGGACAGGGCCTATGAACTGGACTAAGGAATGGGTAGGGACTCAGCCAGGTGTGGGCAGTTATGGCTTGAGGGTGAAGAAGACCAGCTGGGATGACTGGGGCTATTGGGAAGAGCCTAGCACCCAGCTGAGGAGGAAAGGGTGGCAACAGAGGGGAAGAAAGAGAGGGGACACCGTGGAAAGAGGAAGGGATTGAGTTCCTGTGTTCACAGGTTCTTGGGACTGCTCCCCTGTGGCAACTGGTGAAAATCATCCAGTCCCTCAGGTTGGATGAGCAGCCTGGAAATGTCTGGCAAGCAGGCTCAGCAGGGAAGGGTCCCAGTGATGGGTATGCCTGGGAAGCCCCAGCTGGGACTTACAGAGTTTCTTGTTCCAAGAGCAGGAAAGGCGCATCTGGTCATGCTGAATCATGAGTGGATACCTGGGGCTGCCCTTGGTGTGGCAGCTGAGGGCTCAGCCAGGGCTTGCTCTAGTTTGCTTGTGTATGGCGTGGCCAGTGGGGAGGCCAAGAAGGCATCTGGGGTCTGGTCAGGGAGGGCAGAGGGGAGGGTTCCCAGACATGTGAGGGAAGTGCCATCTGAAGATGGTGGGGGCAGAACCCAGGGAAGGAGGGTGAGTGTCTGAGGGACATCATGGGAGGTGGCTATTGGGATGGGGAGCTTGGTCCTGGCTCACAGCCATACCTTAAACCAAGCTTGTCCAACCCACGGCCCAGGATGGCTTTGAATGCAGCCCAGAACAAGTTCATAAACTTTCTTAAAACATGAGATGTTTTTGCAAATCTTTTTTTCTAGCTCATCAGCTGTCATTAGTGTATTTTATGTGTTGCCCAAGACAATTCTTCCAGTGTGACCCAGGGAAGCCAAAAGATTGGATAACCCAGCCTTAGGCCATGCCTGTCTCCTCCTCCCTGCTCTTTTAGGACCAGATGGCCTTCGAGGATGTGGCTGTGTACTTCTCCCAGGAGGAGTGGGGGCTCCTGGACACAGCCCAGAGGGCCCTGTACCGCCGTGTGATGCTGGACAACTTTGCACTTGTGGCCTCGCTGGGTAAGGTCCTGGATACTCTGAAACGGGCAAATTGATGAGAAGCTGACTATCCGGGACTGCCCCTCACCTCCCTGGTGGCTGACGAGCAGGCCCATACCTTGCAGCCAGGGGTCATGTGGAATAGGGGTCTGGTCCTGTAGACATGCAGTCTGGTTGGCTCAACCACTTCCTTTGGCCCTGTCCAGCTGTGGCTTCTCCAGGCCTGGGCTCAGTCCCCTTCCTTTGGTGCTCTGGGCACAGTTGCTGCCTTGGGGTGAGTGAGCTATTCCTGTGAGCCCCTTGCCCTGTGCCATCTTTAGATTCTGTTGCACAGATGACGTTTTCTGTTTCCATGAAGCCCTGACTCCTGCCCTCTGTTTGGAGGTCGGTTGTCTTGAGCTGGGGCTGGACTCTAACCTGTACCTCCTCCTCACAGGACTCTCCACCTCTCGACCTCGTGTGGTCATCCAACTTGAGCGTGGCGAGGAGCCCTGGGTTCCCAGCAGAACGGACACGATCCTGTCCAGGAACACCTACAGGAGGCGCAACCCTGGTGAGTGGGAGCTCAGGGTGGGGTGAACTCGGGAGCAACCTGTGGCCACGCCTCTGTCCCTGCTTCCCGGACTCCCCAGAAGCACCCTCCTCACCTGCCTCCCACCTGATTCCCTTCCCTTCTATCATCAGCCCCTCCTGGAGGCTGCAGCCTTAGCTGCCCTTGAGGGTGGCGCTCCAAGGGCACAGGAGCTGGGTTGACACAGAAGGGTACTCAGGCTGTGGTGAGACCATCTCAGAGTCCTGCCATCAGCTGGGCTGGCCTCAGACCCTCCATGGCTAGTCACTGCCATAATTTTTTTTTTTTTTTTTGAGACTGAGTCTTGCTCTGTCGCCCAGGCTGGAGCGCAGTGACGCGACCTTGGCTCACTGCAAGCTCCGCCTCCCGGGTTCATGCCATTCTCCTGCCTCAGCCTCCCGAGTAGCTGGGCCCACAGGCACCCGCCACAGCACCCGGCTAATTTTTTGTATTTTTAGTAGAGACGGGGTTTCACCGTGTTAGCCAGGATAGTCTGGATCTCCTGACCTCGTGATCTGCCCGCCCCAGCCTCCCAAAGTGCTGGGATTACAGGCGTGAGCCACCGCGCCCGGCGTCTCTGCCATAATTAATGGGTCATATCTGTCACCCATCATTCATCTTTGTGTTCAGCAAACATTTCCTGAGTGCTCACAGTGGCCAGGCCCATTCCAGGCAATGTAGGCACAGCCTCAATCAGGATGATCCTAGTCCTGCTTTTCTGGGGCTCCTGGTGTGGTGGGAGAGGGAGGCAGTAAGCAGGATTCAGGAGTATAGAGCACTGGATGGAAGTCATTGCACGAGCAGGTTGGGGAGTGGGTGCCTGAGCCGGGGGGACCATAGGTGAGCAATGGACAGGAGATGGGCGGAATAGCCAGTGTGGAGATGTATGTGGCATACAGCAGCTGCTCAGTTTTCTCAGCTTCACATCCTGGGTGTCTGGGGCCTGCCGTCTTGCTCATGGGAGTCCCCAGTGTAGTCAGTGCCACACCTGTCAGGGCAGATGGTTCCTTCAAACCCCAGCCCTCTCCTGGAGGGCCGGCCTCGCCTCTACTTTTCCCCTAAGCTTTTGTGTCAGCCCCCCTGCCCCGGTTCCTTCTTGCCTGTCCACTCAACCTGCCCTGGTCCTCTCCTAACCAGGATGCCCCCGGCAACCACCGTTTCTCTGCCTTTAGGTTCCTGGAGTGTGGCAGAGGATGGAGATGTTTCTGGAGAATGGCCACGAACTTTCCCAGATACCCCACCTGGGATGACTACTAGCATCTTCCCAGTTGCTGGTGCCTACCACAGTGTAAAAAGCCTGCAGCGACAACGGAGTGCCTCCCCATCTCGGGAGAGAAAACCCACAGGGGTGTCGGTGATCTACTGGGAGAGACTCCTGCTAGGCTCGGGCAGTGGGCAAGCCAGCGTCAGCCTGCGACTGACCTCCCCGCTTAGGCCTCCTGAGGGCGGCCAGCTTAGGGAAAAGACCCTCACAGAGCACCCGGTGCCTGGGAGGCGGCCCAGGACCCCTGAGCGGCAGAAGCCATGTGCACAGGAGGTCCCTGGGAGAGCCTTCGGGAATGCCCCGGATCTGGAGGCCGCCAGCGGTCGAGGGCATCATGGAATGGGTCCGACTTGGCAGGAGCCTCAGAGACTCCTCGGTGGCCAGGAACCTTCCACCTGGGATGAGCTGGGCGAGGCTCTCCCCGCTGGGGAGAAGTCCTTCGAATGCAGGGCGTGCAGCAAAGTGTTCGTGAAGAGCTCCGACCTCCTCAAGCACCTACGCACCCACACCGGGGAGCGGCCCTACGAGTGCGCCCAGTGCGGCAAGGCCTTCAGCCAGACGTCGCACCTGACGCAGCACCAGCGCATTCACAGCGGCGAGACGCCCTACGCCTGCCCCGTGTGCGGCAAGGCCTTCCGGCACAGCTCCTCACTGGTGCGGCACCAGCGCATCCACACGGCCGAGAAGTCCTTCAGCTGCTCCGAGTGCGGCAAGGCCTTCAGCCACGGCTCCAACCTCAGCCAGCACCGCAAGATCCACGCGGGCGGGCGTCCCTATGCCTGCGCACAGTGTGGCCGCCGCTTCTGCCGCAACTCGCACCTGATCCAGCACGAGCGTACGCACACGGGCGAGAAGCCCTTTGTGTGCGCGCTCTGTGGTGCCGCCTTCAGCCAGGGCTCCTCGCTCTTTAAGCACCAGCGCGTGCACACAGGCGAGAAGCCCTTCGCCTGCCCACAGTGCGGCCGCGCCTTTAGCCACAGCTCCAACCTCACCCAGCACCAGCTCCTGCACACGGGCGAGCGGCCCTTCCGCTGTGGGGACTGTGGCAAGGCCTTCGCTAAGGGCGCTGTGCTGCTGAGCCACCGGCGCATTCACACGGGCGAGAAGCCCTTCGTGTGCACGCAGTGTGGCCGCGCCTTCCGTGAGCGCCCGGCCCTCTTCCACCACCAGAGGATCCATACCGGCGAGAAGCCCGTCCGGCGATCCAGGGCCAGCTTGCACCCCCAGGCCAGGTCTGTTTCCGCGACATCATCAGAAGGTGCGCCAGGGAAGGAAACCGAGCCCACTCCCGCCTCGGGCCCAGCCGCAGTCTCGGAGCCAGGGGAGGTCTGAGGTCACAGGTTGCAGCCCTGGCCTTGTGTGAATCCCGTCCACAGCTAAAGGGCATATGTCCTCTGCAGATCCACAGCAGAGAAAAAGCCCCGTGCTTGCTAGTCAGGGCTTTGGCTGTGATTTCATTTGCACTTGGGGACAGGATTTGCCAGTTCACCCACAGATCACACCTCCATCCCCAAAGAGGTAGCACTACAGAAGCCTCATGGGGAGGATGTGGTGGCTGAACTCCAGTGGGGCCGAGACTATTCCGAGCCAGTAGGAGGTGGACAGTCACAGCACTGCACTGTGGTGCTGCTTCGTGTGTTGACAGTGGCTGCTAAGGTGAGGGGGATGCGGGCATGGGTTGGGGGTGGCCTAGAGAAACTTATGACAGCTGCACACAAACTGGCTGCTGGATAGATGCCCACTGAGGGTATTCTCAACCCACCACTGCCTCTGTTCATCCAAGGCTTCCTAGAGGCCAGCCTAGCAGACAAGAGACCACAAGGGACTGGGGATCAGGGTGTGGGCGCTCAGTGTCAGCCACCACCTCTGGGAAAGGAAAAGGTTTGGGTCCACTGAACATCATGTTTGCAGACGCTGACAGGTGGGGTCCTAATGAGAGCCAACACGTGCTCACTGCCAGCTCCCGTCCTGAGTGCTGGGAAATTTCTCCTGAAGCCCTGTGAGATGGCTGCTGTGGCTGGTATCCTGACTTGGAAGATGAGGAAACTGACACAAAGGGGAAGGTGAGTTTCCCATGGCACACAGTGGAGTCGGTACCCAAGTCCGGGTGGACTGATCCAGCATCCAGATGCCTCATCTCCTGGGCTGCACTCTGGTTGGTCAGGTATGAGGGCCTGGCCTGGCTTCACACACATAGCCGACTCAGGAGAGGGATGCCCATGGGGGAACATGTGACTCTCAGCTTTGGAAGGACAGGCTTTCCAGTGGCACTCGTTCAGGTGTTCACCCAAGTCTCAGCTTGGCCAAGGCCTGTCACTGACTCGCTTATCAAAGTCGATGTGATGAGGAGCCTTTACACCTGAGGGGATGATGATAACTTCAGACAAGATGGAGCTGCTCATTTTTGCTGGGTGTGGTGGCCACTTCCCCCCCAGCCCCTGTCTCACCTTACCCCCATTATCCCTCCTCATTTGGAGGCTGGACAGAGAGCTGAATAGGAAGGACTTGCTATTACCTAAGGCCATGTGTGACACCCTCCTGAGGACCTCCCCACCCCAGTGTAATGGCCCTGCATGGCCGGGACAGGAGGGTGGACTGGGGGCCATTTGCTTCCTGTGGCCTTCAGCAGACCAGGCCGTGTCCCTACCTGGAGCCTCACCTCCAAGCAAATTCATGTTCTCCTTAATGGGAAAAAAAAAAAAACCGACTAGCTTCTGCAACTCGGAATAGGTGTTGCAGCTTCCTGTACAGCAGTTGGGACCTCCAGAACATGGTTGTTTTCAATAACAGTTCAAAGAGCTTCTCTGATAAAGGTTTCTTTTTAAACGTGTGTGAACGGTCGCAACCTGACACCCATTTCACCCTCATACAGTGCAGATGGTATTGAACATACCCTGACATGCCATCAGCGTTTGTCATCATCACAGAAGTTCCTGGACTTGACTTCAACCTGGGTACCCTCAAGAGGCCACAGAGTAGAGGTGCAGCCTGTCTGCGGCCCAGGGAGGGAGTGGGATACCTGTATCCTTTTCAGGGCCAGAGGTGGGTTGTGGGAGCCAGGAGCTCGATGAAATGGGATAGAGTGGGGCTGCCTGGAGCAGCAGCTGGGCTAGGAGATGAGTCCTGGTGGATCCTGGCAATGGGAGGATGGTAGGTGGAGAAACCAAGGCAGGGCTGTGTCCCTTCTGCTGCTGAGATAGAGGGCGTGGCCATGTGGTGACCCTGCAAGGCTGCCTCCAGACCAGTGGGCACTCCATCCCATCTTCCAAGATCTTGCAGCTATCCTGCCCTATACACAAAGAGCAGACTCAGGCCCCACTTACTTGATATTGGGGCCAGATTCTTCCATCTGTGAGGAGACACAGAGGACCCAGCTCCCCTGGAGCCTGCAAGACTTGGGCCACCAGAATCCCAGTAGGTCCCTGAACCATTGTCCCCCACTAAGTCTGCAGAGCTGTGAAATGCAGACAATAACCCTTCCCTGCCTGAAAGAGCACTTTTCTGGGGGAGCCCATGGGAGTCAGGAGCAAAAGCATCTGTCAAGTAGCTACCCAGAGAGTTACATGAAATCATTTCTGTGCCTTTGATAGATGCTTCTTGAACAAAGTTTCTGCCCTGAGCCCGCCTGACCCCTCAGGCTGGGCTCAGTGCCCTACCTTGTCTTCCCACCAGCCTCCGCCCTCCATCAGACTCCTTTCCGTATCTGCTTGTGCCCCTGTTGTCCCTCAGTTTGTCCACCCTCTTCCAATCTCCCCCTCCCCAAACCCATGACTGGTCAGTGGCCCCCAGCCTAGGCTCCGGCCTCCACGCAGGTCTTGGCCCCTCAGCTGACCTCCCTCCAACCTCCCTCTCTGCTCTTACTTTTGAGTAGGTAGTGACTGTAAAAGTATCCCCGGGCTTCTAGGTCAAAAGGTCAGACTGAACACCTGCATCTCAGTGGGCTCAGAAATCCACTGAAACCACAGAGGGGAGTATTTAAAACACATAAACCCACAAGTATGAGGATGGTGAAAGAGGAGTCAGGAGCAATGGCATGCCTAAGCTAGACATGGATGAGAGCTGTCACTACGTTAGGGAAGGCCAAATACTGCGTGGCGACTTGGGGAAGTGGAGAGAGTTCCCACCAGGCTGACTCCAGAACTGCAGAAGGCTGAGAACCAGCAGCCCGGAGACGGGAGACCTATAACAAAGCTGCCTGGGGAACAGCTACTGAAGAAGCCCTTAACGCCCCACTGCTCTCCCCACCTGGTGGAGGGTGAAAGTTTTTTTGTTTTCTGAGACTACGCATAGTCCCAGAGAAAAGACCTAAGCACCTCATCCCCAAAAACAACCTGAGGAGGCCTCTGGAAAGCTCCGAGTTGACAGGTCTTACCCACGCACACGCTCAGTGCTTCAAATCAGCGATTAAGGCCATTGCTTTTCATCCGGAGCAGGCAGCAGGGATTCCCAGGTATCCAAAGAAACCAAAACAGGTGGTGTAATTTAGGACTGAATAATTCATGGCTCGGCCACTTTAAGTGTGGAAGCAAAACTGACCCCACAGATAACAGAAAACTAACACTGCTTATTGGGAGACACTAGTGTCACCCTGTCTAGTTCTGCTCCCCAAATTAAATAAAAGGGAAATAAACAGTTGAGCACGTCCCATCAGCCTGGAGGGAAACTTCCGCTCCCAACTTTGTAGGACTGACATCTGAAGACGTCAGAGACTGCGGTCACAACCGTCGGTACCTCCTCAGGGCGCTTAACGGGTCAAAGAAGGCCCTCGCACCCTCCCGCCGGGAGAAAGCCCAGGCTCAGGGTGGTCTTCCACACCCCCGCCTCTCCCGGGACCACTTGGAAGCGAGCGCCAGCGAACTACTCGACCCAGGAAACCACTGGGCCGCCACTTCCAGCCTCTTCGGAGGTCGAGGCAACGCGCCTGAAGGTTGCCATGGGAACAGCTGCAGGCGGGCGGATATGCCCTGTTTTCTGGGGGCTGCCCGCGGGAAATGGCGTGGGAGCGGCGAGGGCCAAGCAAGCGCCCCCTCTGATTGGGTAAAACCTCCTGCCTCTCCCCTCACCTGCCAATAGGAACCGGTCCACTGTACAGACGCGCGGGTTCACAGCATGGGGAGAGCTGCTCCCAGGGCGGAGGGAGTCCATATAACGCGGCCTCTGCGGCACCTCCTAGAGGAACAGAGCGCCTCTCTCCGGCCTCAAAGGCTGCTGCAAATGCTAGTCCGCGGGCCACGGCCGCGCCTGTCTGGCGGACGCTCATGGGAAACGTAGTTCAAAGGGCGTGGGTGGTGCCTTCGGTGCAGGCGAGAGATTGGTCGGCGCGGCGTCGCCGGGGCAACTCCCCGCTAAGGCTCCCCGCGTTGCGCGGCGCCGCTTCCGGGAAGCGGCCTCCCAGCAACGGCTCCGGGGTAGAGGTGAGCGCAGGCTGCCAGAGGCGGCGCAGCCGTTCCGCCCCGTGGGAGGGTTTGGGGCCGCCCTCGGGCCTGCACAGCCCCTGCTCTCGGCGCCCTGGGGGCCCGCCCACCTCCCGACAGGCCCCGCGCGTTGGCTCAGCCTTCACACGGGCCCTTCCTCCCCCTCAACACCGCTCCGGGGGGCCGGCCCGGGCACGTCCTCTTGGAACACCTCCCTCTTGCCTTCCCCTTTGGGAAACAGACCCCGAAGTTCGAGCATCCCTCGGATAGGCCGGGTATCAGGCCTGGTCTCTCAGGCCAGTCCAGGTGGGCGTGTTTCACTCCAGACCCTCAGGGCCGGGGTGCTGTGGCCATCCCTCGACGCACGCAACGTGGAGCGCTGGCCCCGTTTTTCTTGGCGTTTGCCTTTCGTTTTTACATGCACGGGCCCCGGCAGTGTGAGTCATCCACGGTTCGCTGTGGTCAGCGAGCACGGTGTCCACATCGGCCCTTGCCTTGCCCCATAGGCCCCACGTGACCCCTCCCCAGAGCCAGTCCTAAGGGAGGTCCCACCCAGTCAGCATCCCCGAGATTGTGGAGGGAGACTTGCCCCCGTACTTTACAGCCTGGCTCCACCTTCTAGCCCCTGCCTCCCTGGACCACTCTCCTCCCACCTCGGCTAGGCACTGTCTGTGGCTCCTCAGCCTGGCCCTGGAACTCTGATGACTGTTCTTCTCCACCTCTTTACCGTCATCTTCCAGCAGTCACCTATTGGACCTGTTTGCAATTTCTGGGAAGCTCCTTGGACACCTTGCGTCCAAGCATTTGTCCCCGAGACTTTCTCCTGCCCTCATTTGGCATCATTGTTTAGCTCCTGTGACCCTCCTCCTTCCATGAAGCTTTCTTGGCTTTACCTCCTCTGGCCTCAGAGTACACTTGGTCCTGGTCTCAGCTCCCTGGGCGGGGCCTGGTGTCTGCCTTTCCCTGGCCAGATTCTCTTGGCTGACGTTCTGACCCTTCCTTTTCTGTAGGCCCATCTTGACGATTCCAAGACCACCCCCCTTGAGCAAAAATGCCATCTCCTCTGGGTCCCCCATGCCTGCCCCTCATGGACCCAGAGACTGCCCTCGAGGAGCCTGAGACTGCCCGCCTCCGCTTCCGAGGGTTCCGCTACCAGGAGGTGGCAGGTCCCCGAGAAGCCCTGGCCCGGCTGCGTGAGCTGTGTCGCCAGTGGCTGCAGCCTGAGGCACACTCCAAGGAGCAGATGCTGGAGATGCTGGTGCTGGAGCAGTTTCTGGGCACACTGCCTCCCGAGATCCAGGCCTGGGTGCGCGGTCAGCGGCCAGGCAGTCCTGAGGAGGCCGCTGCCCTAGTCGAAGGACTACAGCATGACCCTGGGCAACTGTTGGGCTGGGTGAGTGTGGCTGGCATCAGCTTCTTGGAGGGATAGACCCTGGCTAGAACCCTTTTGACTTATTTCTTCTCCTCAGATCACAGCACACATCCTGAAGCAGGAGGTGCTCCCTGCAGCTCAGAAAACAGAGGAACCACTGGGGAGCCCCCACCCCTCAGGGACAGTGGAGTCCCCTGGAGAGGGTCCCCAGGACACCAGAATAGAGGGGTCTGTCCAGCTCAGCTGCAGTGTGAAGGAGGAGCCCAATGTCGATGGACAGGAAATGGGTGAGATTGGGGTCCACCCAGGATGGAAGCTTCCTGGAGGAAGTGTGGACACTCCTGGCTAGGGTGGGAGTCCCAGGAGAGGTTGTGTCAAGGCCGGGACTCCTGAAATGAATGTGGATGTCCCTGTCTGGGATGGGGCCCTGGGAGGCAGGAGCCAAGGGCTGGCTATGTGCCATGTCACACAGCAGAGGATTTCCTTGTCTGCCATGGCTCATGTGGGCAGCCCCTGACACCACCTTTCCATCTGCCCCACTTTTCAGCACCCTCCAGCCCTCCACTTGTAGTGCAGTCCCCTGAGGGGCACCATGGACACCAAGAAGCAGCCTCCACATCCTTCCACCCTCCCAGGATTCAGGTGAGCGCTCCAGGTGGGAAGCGTAGGCCCCAGGTGTGGGAAGGGAGTGTCCCCATGGCTGCCCTCTGCCCGGTGGTTTTCCAGGCTCCTTGGCTAGTGACTCTTTGCTGCCCAGAAGTGGAGTGTGTAACAGCTGTACCTCTCCACAGGCCCTGGGGCAGAGGGACAGACTGGTGATCTATTATTGAAAAGGATTTGGCGCTGGACATGGTGGCTCACACCTGTAATCCTAGCACTTTGGGAGGCCGAGGTGGGTGGATCACCTGAGGTCAGGAGTTTGAGGCCAGCCTGGCCAACATGGTGAAACCCCATCTCTACTAAAAATACAAAAATTAGCCAGAAGTGGTGGCAGGCGCCTGTAATCCCAGCTTCTAGGGAGGATGAGGCAAAACAATCGCTTGAACCCAGGAGGCAGAGGTTGCAGTGAGCCGAGATCGCAGCACTGCGCTCCATCCTGGGCAACAAGAGCAAAACTGTGTGTCAAAAACAAACAAAAAAAAAGGATTTGGGCCTCAAGCCATGAAAATGCAGTTTAGAGTGGCTGGAACTGGTGGGCTTGGCTTCCTCACCTCCGGAGAAATCAGGTGGGAGGTTTGCTGCTCTCAGAGGTCCTGAGCCAGAACCTGGGGATTTGAACGTTTGCGTGTAGCTGGGGAGGGGACAAGATGACCAGCTGTGGCAGGACTCCCCCACACCTGAGACCAGATGGAGACACTCTTCCTGGGACATGCCCAAAGTCCCTTCTCTCCCAGGGGTTTCCTCAGAGGCCACCTGTTGGCTCTGGAAGCTCAGCTTGAGGCCCCTGCTACCTGGATCACTTGGTTCCCAAGTGTGGGCAGCAAGGCCTTTTCCTCTCCCAGCTCCTCTGCTTCTAACAGCTCCACTGGGAGCTTCAGCAGCATTGCTGGTTGAGATGTGTTTCAAGGCTGAGAAGTCCTTCCAGGCTCCCTCCACAGCCCCATGGCACAATCAGAAAGTGAGCCAGGGTGGGTAGGCTGCACTTCCCATAGTGTCCTCATGTCCAGCCAGCACTATCTCTGGCTGTGGCTCCTCACAGCTGCCACCTTCCTGCGCCTGGACTTGCCACAGCTTGTCCCTCAGGATGATTTTCCCAACCCAGCAAAGCCCCAGATGGTGGGACTCAGGAGGCAAGGAGGGCTGACCCCCAAGCAGGGAGTTCATTCCTTGATAAACTCACTCAGGTCCCTGTAATGCTGCCAGGCCCTCCCTCTCAGCAGGGTGGGGTAGTGGAGGGGGATGAGAGCTAGCAGCTGCACTGGTCAGGTGATCTGAAAGAGGACCCTAGCACTTAACAAACACCCACCTCGAGATCATTCTCAGCAGGAGGGGCAGATGAGGCATAGGTAACCTACTGACTCCCCCGGGTAGTAAGAATGTGAACCAGATAGGGCAGGGGAGGAGTAGAAGGACACCTACAGTGATGGGCCACATCCGCAGGAGGAGTGGGGGCTGCTGGACCGGTCACAGAAGGAACTGTACTGGGATACGATGCTGGAGAAGTACGGCACGGTGGTCTCCCTGGGTGAGGACCAGCCAGCCCCACCCCGCCCCTCTCCCTGGGGCCTGCACCCACCCTAGCTGGGCAGGGACTCTCTGTTACCAGCCCTACCCAGCTCTCCCACCTTCCAAAGGAACACCCTGTCTCCTGCCAGAACCCACCCCACCCCTCCTTCACGCAAACCCTGCGCCTAACTGTGCCCCCCACCCGGGCAGGGTTACCGCCCCACCAGCCAGAGGCACAGGCCCAGTCAGAGCTGGGGATGCTGCTCCTGGGGACAGGCGTCTGCAGAAGCCTGCGCTCAGGTGAGTGCCCCACACCATCCAGCCTGAATCACCCCTCCTGTATGGGGGGGACTTGAGCCACCCACTCTTGGGGGGATGGGAGCTTGTGCCACAGCCACAAGCCTGAGGGAGGGGGTGCCGAGTGCCGGAACTCACCTGGTTTGCCCCTGCCCCCAGGAAATGAGAGTGAGGGTCCACCCGGCTGCCCAGAGGCCCAGCCGCCCCAGGGCCCAGGGCCTGCAGCCTGGGAGGGCCTGCCTGAGGTCACCACTCCTGCCCCCACTGCGCGCCCAGGGACACCACCAGTGCCCACTCAGCCCACACCCACAGAGATGAGACTGGAGCCGGGTACCACCCCTAGGAAGCCCTACACGTGCGAGCAGTGTGGCCGCGGCTTTGACTGGAAGTCAGTGTTCGTCATCCACCACCGGACACACACGAGTGGGCCAGGTGCGCAGTCCCCAGGGCTAGCCGCCGGGGAAGGCACAGAGAAGCCACCGCAAGGGGAGCTGGCCTTTCCGCGCCACCCCCGACATTCACTCGCAGGCCCCCGGAGCTACCCATGTGAGGAGTGCGGGTGCAGCTTCAGCTGGAAGTCGCAGCTGGTCATCCACCGCAAGGGCCACACGGGCCAGCGGCGCCACTTCTGCAGTGACTGTGGCCGCGCCTTCGACTGGAAGTCGCAGCTGGTCATCCACCGCAAGGGCCACCGGCCGGAGGCTCCATGAGCAGCCACATGGCGCAGTCACTCGGGGCCTCGCTGTTCTTGCGGCCTGGATGCAGCCTCTGGGGCACCAGTAGAAGACTCTGGAGGCAGAAGGGGATGCCGGAGTGAACAGGGGGTCCTAAGCCAGTTCCCTGCCCCTGGTCTGGTCTCCCCCAAAAGACCTGGGTGCAAGGAAAAGGAGCTGCTCCCTCCCTCCTTGCCCCCGCCTCCTGGAGGGAGGTCTGAGTTCCTTTCTGTGGGTGACCAGTGCCTGTGGGGTGACTGCCAAGCACCAGGCTCCCTCCCTCCCCGCGACATGGCCCTGGGATGACAACACTCCCTCTCTGGGACCTCCTTGCCTCAGGTGGGTGTTCACAAACTGTGCCTTCCCACCCCTCTGTGCAGAGGCTGGGCCTGAGGTTTCAGTGTGGAGGGCAGAAGACCCCGGAAAGCCCAATTGGCTTCCGTTTCTCCTGCTCCGTGTGTGTGAGAATTTTAACATAAATTCCACTTTCATAATACAGAGTTTCTGAATCCTGATTTCTGGCTTCTCCTGGTTGGGAAATAGGCAGTTTGCTGTCTCTGCCCAGTAGCTGGAGCCACAGGGCAGTTGGTCCCAGAATGGCGAAACCTCTGTTGCCCCAGAACCCAGGTCCCCAGCCTCCCTTGCTCCTTAGCCGTCCACATCACTCACCAGCCTCACTGGCCTTGGAACTCATCAGTCCACACAAAGGGGATTTCCTTTCCAAGCACGGCTGGACAAGGGGGACCTCTGAGAAGAGGGGCTGCAAGCAGGTGTTGCCAAGGCCATGGTTACTTCCAGGTCAGGTCGCACCCTCCATAGTTAGCTGGTCGTGCAGCAGGAAGGCAAAGGGTCAGCTCCCTGGGAAGCACCGGATCTCTGGGCAGTCACTGGGGACTCGCCAGTGCACTGTACTAGTTTCTTGTTGCTGCTTTAACAAACTTGGCAGCTTGAAACAACAGATTTATTCTCATAGTCTGAAGGTCAGAACTCTGACATGGGTCCCACTGGGCTAAAATCAAGGTTTTAACAGGACTGGTTCCTCTTGAAGGCTCTAGGAGAGAATCATGTTTTGTTGCCTTTTCCATCTTCTAGTCAGCCCACGTTCCTTTTGTTTCTTCTTGGTCCCTTCCTCCGTCTTCAAAGCCAGCCATGAGTGGTCACGTCTTCCTTAGGCTGCCTAGGCTGCCAGCTCTCTGGCACCAGTCGATCTTTTGGTCTCCTTCTCTTAAGGACCCTCATCATACCTTGTCCCCTACCTGCACGCTTAGTCACACCTGCAGGACCCCTTTTGCTGTATGAGATGTTCACAGCTTCTGGGGATTGCAATGGGGAATCCTTGGGCCCCTTGATTCAGCACTCTCCTTCCTACTCTGAAAACAAGGGGCATTTTCACAGGGGATGGTTTCAGAAAACAGGTGCCCTCTCGGAAGGAGCCCTCGCCAGCTGCTGGTTTATGCACAAGTTACAGGTGGATATTGAGGGGAGCTGCAACTGTGGTTACCCCAGGAGGGGCTCCCTGGGACAGGGGGCAGGAACCCTGCTGCAGCCTGAAGCTGCAAGAGCAAGGCTCTCCTCAGAGGCCTATCTTCCCCATCCCCTTTTCTGAGGACCTTCTAACCCATTGCTCCCGTGCTCAGGCCTCCGAAAGCAGGGCCAGTTTGGAGATGGAGCTGTGGGTGGGTGATCTGTGAGCGAGCAGGAGGCGAGAGCTGTGTTGGGGACAGAGAGGAAGAGGACAGAGCAGTACCCAGGGGCTCCAGCCAGGCCCCAGCCCCAGAAGGGAGAGCCAGGGTATAGAAGGCTGTGAAAGGGCCAGATCATGCAGGCAGGAAACGCTGCAGGGGGTGAGGGTGGTTTTTTTTGTTTGTTTTTTTGTTTTTTTTTTGAGACGGAGTCTCGCTCTGTCGCCCAGGCTGGAGTGCAGTGGCCAGATCTCAGCTCACTGCAAGCTCCGCCTCCCGGGTTCACGCCATTCTCCTGCCTCAGCCTCCCGAGTAGCTGGAACTACAGGCGCCCGCCACCTCGCCCGGCTAGTTTTTTTTGTACTTTTTAGTAGAGACGGGGTTTCACCGCATTAACCAGGATGGTCTCGATCTCCTGACCTCGTGATCCGCCCGTCTCGGCCTCCCAAAGTGCTGGGATTACAGGCTTGAGCCACCGCGCCCGGCCATGAGGGTGGTTTTTTAATGAACTTTTTCACATTTAGAAGTAATTTATGCTCACTTAGAAAAATCTGAAATATACAAGGTGGCACAGAAGATCGTGAAAATGGCCCCTAATTCAACTGTCTCATGGCAATGCTTACTCTAGAAGTTTACACATCGAAGTGTTTGAATGTAAAGTTTCTTGTAAGGCAACTTACGTTGTTTCACTTTGGGAGACCAGGAGTTCAAGACCAATGTGGGCAACATGGTGAGACCCTGTCTCCAAAAAGAAAAATTAAAAATAATAGGCTGGGCGTGGTGGCTCATGCCTATATTCCCAGCACTTTGGGAGACCAAGGCAGGTGGATCACTTGGAGTTTGATACCAGCCCGGCCAACATGGTGAAACCTCGACTGTACTAAAAAAAAAATACAAAATTAGCCAGGCGTGGTGACAGGTGCCTGTAGTCCCAGTTACTTGGGAGGCTGAGGCACAAGAATCACTTGAACCTGGGAGGCAGAGGCTGCAGTGAGCCAAGATGGCACCACTGCACTGCAGCCTGGGTGACAGAGCGAGACCATGTCTCAATAATAATAATAATAATAATAATTAGCCAGGCATAGTGGTGCATACCTGTAGTCCCAGCTACTAGGGAGACTGAGGTGGGAGAATCACTTGAGCCCAGGAGGTTAAGGCTGCAGTGAGCTCTGATAACACCACTGCACTCCAGCCTGGGCAACAGGATGAGACCCTGTCTGGAAAAAAAATATGGAAATGGGAGACGGAAGGGTAGGTCAGAGGGATGATGGATAAAGTAACCATAAATATTCAAAATAGGAGAGACACGACCCCACCCTATGGAATGCTTCACAAATGTGTGTTTACTCTCGCACAGGGGCCATGCTGGCCGTTCCAGTTTTAGTATATGTGCTATAGAAGTGAGCAAGCACTTAACTTTTTTTTTTCATGCCTGGATGAATCTTCCATTTTCTGGCTAGCACCATCATCTCTACCAAGACCAAAGAATTTCTTGTTCCCTCCTCACCCCACGGTACACAGTCCTATGATTAATTCTCTTGAGTAAACAGTTGGATACTACTGTGGCTATTTCTGTAGGATAAATTGCTCAAAATGGGATTGGTGAGTTACAGGGAACATGAGATTTATTTTTGCCTTAAAACAGCAAAAATTTATTGTGCAATTCTGGAGACCAGAAGTTAGACACCATCTGACCAAGCTAATCCCAAGGTGTTGGCAGGGGCTGAGCACAGTGGTTCACCCCTGTAATCCCAGCACTTTGAGAGGCTGAGGCAGGAGGATCACTTGAGGCCAAGAGTTTGAGACCAG